CAAAGTACAGTCAGTTCGGTTTCTAGAGACCTTAAGATGTTGGACGGCAAAGCGGCGACGACGGCCAAAACAAAGTCATTCAAATAAATGATTATAAAGAAAGCATATCGTACTAATTCAATCGCATGAATTTAAAACAGCTTGAAGAGATCAAAACAGAGGCTTTCAATTGAGTAGAATTCCACATTAGTACTGAACCAATTTGCTGAGTATCCACTTCTTACGCACTGAAATGCAAACGTTGTACACAGGACGCAAGAGTTCTGGTTCACCGCGGTTGTAAACAGACCGTGCATGGACGACCGTATGAATCTCCTGTGGGATTTTAATTATTCATTTCTTTTCTTAAATATTATTAATTTCATTGTGTCCAGTTACTAGACGTGTCGTCACATTTCCATCCTAGATCTTAAGGTCTCTAATGTTTCCTCCTGTAGCGACACCAAAGCAATCAGAGAAGATTTCTCTTACTGGACCACTAGAAAGAACTGATGGAGCTATCTTGTACAAATAAAGTCAACCGTACCTCGTAATTCATGACGTGAAAACGTGCCCAGTTTTCCAATGACCAGTCTCCAGTCTGCTACCGTGGATGACGTAATCCCTTGACAAAATTCCCACAGCCTCCTGAGTGCCTTAATCCGTAGTCTTGTACGACGTTGCTTGGCTGTTAGGCTAAAAAATAGTTGCAAAAATTCTGGTTCAAGTAAATGAATGTTATCCCCGAAAAATTGCATCGACGACCCAACGTATCGACAGTCAAAGTCACTATGTGGCTGCTTATATTCTCGAAGTAACAATGTTGATATTTTATCAAGTTGCTACAAGGTTGTCACTCACAACTTGTTGACAAATTGTTGAATTGCCGGACGATTTAACAAGTTGTTGCAACAACTTGTAACAAGTGTGTTGAGCTCAGCAACCGTGTAGCAAGTTGTCAACAAGCTGGGAACAAGCAGTGCGAACACATACCGATTGACAAGTTGTTGGAACAGCATTGCTACAAGTCTGCTGCAGGTGTGTTACATGTGCGTTTTTACGCGTGTACTCCACGTACAACTTTACTGTCACTTACCCACACGGCTCAACCACAGTAACAAATGTCTCCATAACCATGCCAGTTTCGTTGGTACAACTCGCCAATAACCATCGTTGGTCATGCGACAGCCCGTAACAACAGAACAACAGACTCGAAGATTCTTTATGTGTTGCCAAATCATCAGCATTTTCGACAGTGTCAACATTGTGTATAAGTTTGGTTGGCGTTGCCAGGATGTATGCGGGCGCGTACACCCGTATGCGGGTTTTCTCTGATGCCTAAAAACAGGAGGGTAAGAAGTGATATACATTTGAACTGAAATACTACGTGTCCTCCGAGACAAGCGTTAGGTCGTCTTGAAAATATGTAAATTTGGATAAGACTCGCTACTTTTGGAAAAAGATTATTAAATTCGGATGTGAAACTAGTTTTTCTGATCTCTGAGAACGGGTCAGAATGGAACGATTTCGTGTGGTTTACACAAACCTGGGGAAGGTCGTTCCAAGAAACAATTTTTAATTTTAGTTGGCAGAAAGTTTGGGCTGGCAACAAAAAACCTATAGATTGGTATTAAGTCAATATATTTGGCCTCAAAAAGTAATCGGTTTACTTGATCTTACATTAAAAATTCCTTGAAATTGTATTTCCTTTATCATACATTCATGGAAACACATAGTATAATATCAATACTGCTTTTATGAACTAAATATGTTCGGTGATTCTGTGTATATTCATATTGTTAGACGTGTTTTAATTAATGCATGCTTATAACTTGCTAACAGCTGTATGAATGAATGTTTAATAAGTCCTGGTAAATGTAATGTGACCACCAGTTTTTCAAAGAAACTACTTGCCCCTTACGGCAAAGGCCCATTTCCAATCAAGAAAGTTTTCCACGGACAGAAAATTTTCCGAAAATATCATTGGAAATTTTCAACTTCAAAATTTTTTTCCGACGGAAAATTTGTGTCGGCCAATCACATTTTACAAAATTTTCTGTCCGTGGAAATTTTTCTTGAGTGGAAATGGGCCTTACGATCCAAGGAAAGCTGGACGTTTTTCCAAGTTAGGGTTCCCAAGCCATCAGTGAATAGAGAATAAGCTTTACCTGATTTTTATTGGCATGTCGTTGACTCGAGGGTGCCCAAAAGCCGGTATGAACTCGAGTGTTGTAGGGTTTCTGTAGCATCATGCGACATCGCGAGAATACAGAGAACGCTGTAGTTTTGAGAAGTTTAACGAATGATACTTGAGAACCCTTTGTCTTCTGATACGCATCAACTTGAGTTATCTGACGTAGTGGAATAATCTAGACAACATGAAAGTGACGGTAATATTAGGCGAGGCAATTTTTGTTGCAACCTGCAACGCCATTTCTGATATACAGGGTGTATCAAAAAAAGGTAATCCGACTTGGCAGAGACCTAAAGTTGCATTTTCCGCTTCTGTTCCTGGTTAGGCCTAATAAATGTATATAAATTTCCACTCAATAATTTCCATCTACAATACCCATCAAATATTATTCGTTCGAGTACACACATAAAAATCTAACAACTTGTCAACAAGATGTGTTCGCAACAGGGTTGTAGCAAGCTTGTCACCAAGTTGTAACAATGCTGTTATTTCATCAAGTTGCTACAATTAAGGTTGTCACTCACAACTTGTTGACAAATTGTTGATTTGCAGGACGATAACAAGTTGTTGGAACAACTTGTAACAAGTCTGTTGAGCTCAACAACCTTGTAGCAAGTTGCCAACAAGCCGTTGACAACTTGTCAACAAGCTGGGAACAAGCAGTGCGAACACATCCTGTTGACAAGTTGTTGGAACAACATTGCTACAAGTCTGCTGCAGGTTTGTTACAACTTGTGCGTTTTTACGTGTCTAAGATGCCACAAAAAATCTTGATATTTACCCATAACCTACACATGGCAGTAGCCTAGTGTATATACATGAACTTGTGGTTAGAGCTCGACAACTGGCCTTTATAGCTCAGTTGGTCAGAGCACTGCACCGGAATCACAGGGCTGCAGGTTCAATTCCTACCAGGGACTTAAGTTGCATTTTTCGCTTCTATTCCTGGCTAGGTCTAATAAATGTATATAAATTTCCACTCGACAATTTCCATTTACAATACCATTATACCAATCATATCAAACTTTGGCATGTAATCGTACATTATATATTACGTTTATCCATTTACTTTTTTCATACCAATAAAGATCTGGCTTTTAGCTGTCGAATACTACCTTTCTGGTATCATTGCGATCTAAAATAGCCAAATACGAACCAATTTAAAAATGCCTCTCGAAGTCGAATTTTTCCACCATTGGGAATTGCATGTAAAAGTTTTGTCTGAGTATCGAAATTATTCTCATTTTGGATTCAAATTTAAGTCGCTTGAATAAAGATTGCCCGCAACGCATGTGCAAGCATCAACTGAAGGTACATTCCACTCGCAATTTTGCATCGATAAATTGAGTGGTTAAAACATTTTACAGAACTGGAAGTTGGCAGACTGAACTCGCAATGCCATACGTTTCCCAAATGGATAACGAGCATTTCGACAAATGTTCAAAAATTGAAACCACACTTAAATCCTAAATGTGGAAAAATGCGATTTCAATCAACCAACTTTAAATCAAATTGTATTTGGCAAATTTTTTATCGCAATGACACTGTCTTTACATGACATAATGGATGACGAAGTATTGATAATTAACCTTACCTCTAAAACGAGACGACTCCGAATTTTCTCAGGTAACCCCGATGCCATTTCAGAAAAACCTCGAAGCAAAGCATAATACGACTCTCTCCTCAGAACTTGATCGCTGCTCTCATCAAATGGATTGACGATATAAACTACAACCGAGGCATTGTCTTGGCGTGGCTGGTCGTTGTCACTTTAAGAAAATATAAAATATCTTGTTAATTTTTTGGTAATATTAAATTCTTAACTTTTCTTCATATCATATCATATCATATCGTATGCCATACCATTCCATAGCACACTATATACAACACCAAGCCATACCACTGGGGGGGGGGGGGATGTGAAATCCATACTTTGAAACTTACAATTGCACCTCTAAATCCATAGTATATCCTTACTATTTCGATACTATATCCATAGTACGGAACTATACAATTATTATGGATAATCAAAATCCATGCTATTTCTAATAAAGGTCCATACAATTTCCATTCTATGACCTTCTATGGAATTTCAAATTTTTTTCCACTGTATTATATCACACCACATGATGCCAAACCGTACCAACAACTTTGTAGTAATGTAAAAAGGGAAAAATTGTACAGTCATAATTCATGAATATACTGATACATATATCGTTGACCTTAAGGGGTATGTTCTAAGCCCTAACATTTCATGGGAGCCGTAAGTTGGACCGTTATACGCTTCTCCCTTGCCACCCCACAACGCCACATAACCATATCACAGACCGCATCGTACCACCTCACCACACCATACCATCTCCGCGTTCTTACCAGGTAAAATCATTGGGGTTCTTCTTCGCACCATCATCACCAAGCGAACTCAGTTTCTCGAGTGGTAGTTTTTCCAGAAACGGACCTGTCAACGAAAACCACTTTTAAGCACAAAAATATATCAAGAATTATATCATGTGAAAATCACGTAAATCCGAGCACAGCGGCTATGAAATTTGCGAAACGATACTAGGAAATTTCTAATATATCAGTGTGCCAAGACTTTCTGATCCGGGTTTGCAGTTAGCTGAAGTCAGTGAGCTCCATATATGTCTGTCCAAAAAGTGAAGTCCCTGTTTTTATCTGCGCGGTTAACACGAAATGTGCCGAAATTTCGTATTTTGACCTCGACTTAAAGAATAATACTATGGTTTTATGAACTGATAATTTGTTTAGCGATACAATCTGAAAAAACCTGGAATTATAGCTGGGAAAAATGGTATGCAAATTGTTTACGATCTTCATAGCTATTGGACGTCAATTTCCGCCTCTTTTATTCACGTTTCTCATACATGTAGGCCGAATGACTGAAGATCTTTGCTCCAGTTATATATAGAGAGCTCATTGGCTTAGTCGCTTGCAAGTAACCGGGACACGGGGTTACAGCGGATACCAACATCTGATAGCAATCAATTACACCATTTCACATCTCCAACTGCTTACCGAGTTCATATTTGCATACTTGAGCAAACAGCTTCACTCTGGGTCCGTCGGATAAGTTTTCTACAAACGCAAGAAATAGCTTTTAATTCAACAAACAGTTGTATGATAAACTTTCGTTTGTTCCTAGTAATATAGAGTTAAATAGACAAATGTCGTAAAAACTAACCTCTGTACAAATATTGAAAATGCAGAATAGGCAGTAACTGAAATCAGGCCAACACTACACTAAATACTTCGACTTCGTTTTGCAGTCAGCGGTTTAGGCAAGTTGTAAACGACCTACTACTCTATCCTCAGATTTTGCGATTAAAAACGTCGCGTTGAATAATTCACTGTTTACTACAGTTGAAGCCATATTTCAATGTGACATGCAAATTACAAAGGAAGAAGAATAAATCATGTCGGTGATTTCTGGCCATGAATACATAAAACTTACCGTATTTTCCAAACCAGGGGCTCACGACATTCTTGCCATACTTATTTTGTTGTTTAGGACCTATTCTGAGAATTCCTTCACTGGACATAGACGACAACTTGCTCACGGGAACATGACGACCAAGCTGACATGTCTACAACGAATATTACATCAAGTTACAGTAATTTTCTCCACTAAAGTAGCTCAGTTAAAATGGCTTTAAATGCCCCCAACAAGAGTAGCTGAAATAATTCATTTTAATGCCAGTTTGAAATACGAGCGTATATATGCTTGCCTTGTATTTGGTTGTAAGCATAGAATCAGGGCCGGCGCTAAAGGGGGGGGGGGGGGGGGGGAAACACCCCCAGTCATCAGGTAGTCGGCAAAAAATATTGAATGCCAGTCGGCAAAAATAGGAAGAAAAAATATATTTGAGACACCGATTAAAAATTAAGAATGATAGCTAAAATGTGGAGAAAATTATGACAAAAATTAGGGAAACATGGAACGAACAACGGTGGTTAAACGCAAAATAAGATAGGCAAGTATTTGTCCGAAAATTTTTTTTGTTTTTGATGTTGAGCCTGAAAATTTTTTTTTTAATTTTTTTTGTTTTTCGATGTTGAGTTCTAACGGAGGTCTAACGACGTCCCTGCATAGAATAACCACAGGTATAGTCCATTGTTGACCAGCATAGCGGCAACTGTGCTTTTGGAAATTTAGAAACATTTCAAATTCTAAAATCCTAGCTAAGACAAAGCGGAAAAGTGCAAACTCTCACCTCGTACGTTGAACTGAGTTCTCTGAAGAAATACTTCACATTCGTATTGGTCGTTTCGTTTTCCGGTGCCAAGACAACATACGTGACGTCACGCGATGACGTGTACGGTTCTAAAAATATCTTTTCCTATAAAGAAAAGAAGAAGACTGGCTTTGTCAACTGGATGGCTAAGGGGATGATTATATATAAACATCTCCATTACGGATTAATTTCACATTGACTTTACTTTAATTTCCGCACGCAATACAAAAGTATACAAAATTTGCAAACTTTGCAAGGCTATATTTTCCGCATTTTACAACATTTCGCAACCAAACTTTGCAATGTTACTTATTTTAGTATGCTCTTTCTAGCTGTGGTGATTTATTTGCATCTCCTTGCCTAGTTTTAAAATTAGTCTATAACGGGAGTACTTACCAAAATGGTCATGTCGCTGATAATCATTGCTTAACATTGTGGGCTCAGTCAAGAATTTTCCCGCGCTTTTTGTTTTGTTTTATTTCGACATATTTTATGCCGAAATAAGGCTCAAATTGTAAGTTTAAATAGTTCTTAATTATGCTTGAGTCATCTGATATTTTCTTGGACCTGTAACCTTCTCTTAATCTCGAAATTCTACCAGTAAATCGAAAACTTTGCCGATTATATCTTGAAATAATTTAGTAGTTTTCCTCATTAATATTTGTAATTTGTAAAATCACTTACCCAGTGATGTAACGCCAACGGCGACACAGACAGCCAATTGCCATCATGCCCGACAATCACGCGCGGGATTCTCGCGGGATCACCAGCACTTACAGAGCCCTTGCTGTTCACTTGGCAAAGTTGTTTCAATGACAACGGTCCTTGCACCGTGGAAAGTTGGTCCCAAGTTTTCCAATGAATCGCTTTATGAAGTGATTCCTGAATGACAGGTTTTAGGTCCATTAAAAAGTCAACAGTGTTCTTCGAAAGTTTTTCAATCTCAGAAGCTGCAAAAAAATACGAAAGAACGGTTAAGAAACCTTGTATAACCAACTAAACGAACTTTATTCATACTGGATAGCTCTATCAGTTTTAAACTGTTCTTCCTATATAGAGGTACAATAAGGATCATTCCGTATTGATCCAGTGTTTCTACAGAAGGAAACCTAAACTAAACTAACTTTATTTATGCTGGGTAGCTCTATCAGTTTTAAAATAAAGATCATCCCTTATTGATCCAGTGTTTCTACAGAAAGAAACCTAAACTAAACTAACTTTATTTATACTGGACAGCTCTATCAGTTTTAAACTGTTCTTCCTATAGAGGTACATCCCTACTGATTCAGTGTTTCTGCAGATGGTACCCTAAACTAAACTAACTTTATTTATACTAGATAGTTCTAAACTGTTCCCCCGAGAGGTACAATAAAAGCAGTCCCTTATTGATCCTGTGTTACTACAAGAGGAAACGTAAATTAAACTAACTTTATTTATACTAGATAGCTCTATCAGTTATAAACTGTTCTTCCTAGAGGTACAATAAAACCAGTCCCTTAGGGAGCGGCCATTATTTATGGCGGGGGGTGGCACCGAAGAGAAAAGGGTTGGGTAAACAAAATTTTGAGTGAGTAAAAGGTTGGGTAAATGAAAAACAAAACAACTTAAGGGTTGGGTAATGAAAATGTGTTGTCATTTCCAAAAAGACTGAAAAGCAATGTCAAACAGACATATGTCAATACAATATGTAAATCAATTAGAGTCACCATCTTCATTATTTTACGATTTGTGATGAGGCAAATTGTGTCTCCAGAAGAAAGTACATGTGCAGACAACATGAAACTTTAGACTGCAGAAAATTGCACAAGCAGTTATCAAACTCATGTCACAGAAGTGGTAAAGGACATGTGTGACACCTGAATGGTATCATTTTGTAAAGTTTTTGCCAAGGGGTGGGTATTTATTTTTTTATTCATATTTATTTCAAATTGTTTACCAAGAAAACACTTCTCTTCGGTGCCACCCCCAATAAACACTGGCCGCTGTCTAGTTATGATACATCCAACCCTGAATTTGCCATCGTCTTACCTGATCTCCTTTCAAGCGGGCGTCGAGTGTCGTCATTGTCCAAACCAGTTAAAACCAGTTTCTCCGACGTAGCCGACGCCGACAATGGCGATGAAAACTGGTCAAGCAGGTTTTCCACCAAAACGGTTGAATTACTAGTCCCCAGTACCTCCGTAGATTGTCCGCACTTCGAATCCTTTGTGACTGGTTCCTTTTTAACAAGTGTTATTGTAGGCTTCCTTTTTGCAGTATCACAGTACCTAGTGTCTATTTCAACACCAATGTTCTCCATACAGCTACTTCCTTGAAGTAAATCGTTTGAAAACAATCCCGTATGCTGGCGCAGCTTTTCCCGCTCAAATATCGCTAAGCCACACTGGCATACATCATTGTTCCTTTGTAACCCTATAGGTTCCTTACCTATTGTATTTCGGCTTACGATTTTTCGCTCACCAGTGATACATAAACAGGCATTTGTTCCGTCCAAATTTGTGTCTGAGGTATAGTTTATATAAGAATCGGATAAAAATAGGTTAGCATTTAATAAATTAGAATTGTGGTCAGAGTCAGTCGCGCATTTGGCTCCTTGAGAGTCTTTTGGAGAAAACGCGTTTAAGTTTGAGGTTTGAGAACCCGAGATTGTACCAGAGCCAAGATCTGGAGCAAGTAAATCCGAGAGACTGGTTCGAGTCTTTGAGAATGGCGTGGCAGGAAGGCTACAAGAAACAAGATGAAATTGACATTAGTTTATATGGTAGATAAATTCCCAAAATATTCTTGTCCTGAACAGGGTTTATTAAAGAACACTTGCCTTGTTGGATCACTTTTAGAACTTGAAGATTTCACCTTGGTAAAAAATATGTAAATAGTTGTTATTAAGAGGAGATTTTTTTGTATGTTACGTAACACGCGCTCAAAAGTAATGCGTATAATATACCACTTGAGGTTATGACTAAATTCAAAATTTTTATTTTTCGATACGTTTCTCAATCGGCAAACAAACTTAAAAAGTATGTTTAGTGCTTTATCTGTAAAATAATGCTAAAATGAAGAGATCTTAGATGGTACGACAAAGAGAAAATGATGTCTGAAGTTCAGTAAGTTTTGCTTATATGGCTGTAAATATGTCGTTAATTTTAAAGCATCATTGATAATTGTATTTTAGTTGACAATTTTTAACTATTATTTTATGTTTTAAAATCTCAACCGGCAGATGCATTTAAAAAGGTTGCTAACTCTATAAACTAGAGAATAAAGCTAGAACAAAGTAATTTTGAGAGGAACGCCAAAAAGATTTTAGGTTTTGAACACTTTTCATTGCGAATACGTGACATTGAAAAAAATTGCCTCTTAATAGTTACGTAGTCTTCAGATCAAGCACCTTTCACCTCTGAGATCGTGGGTTTGATTCTCGCTATGGACTCATGTGAAAAGAGTCTGTCAACGCTCTGCCGAAAGTCGTGGGCCGTTTCTCCGGGCGCTCCGGTTTCCTCCCACAGGGAAAGTTGACAGGGTGGGAATTAGGATAAACACAGTTAAGAAAGTAATATCAAAATTGTTGTAAAGATAAAAATAATGTTATAAGTTCTTTGTATGATTTTTCTGTGTTGGTGTTGTGTACTCAGGTGAATATGATATTTGTGAATGTTACTCTGAGTGTAGTTCTTTGTATGTTTGCATGGCGATAAAACATATAATAGTTTTGTTTGTGGAAACACCACGTAAATTTATTACTGCAATTACTGCAAGTAATAAATTTACGTGGTGTTTCCACAAACAAAACTATTATAAAAATAATGTTGTGTTTTTAATTTAAATCAAGGATCACACCAGAGGTTTTTGTACACAAATTGTTCCTAAATTTGACATGTACAACTATAAAGAACAAATTTAAGAACAATTTGAGTAAATAGCGTGAGGACGGATAGTAAACTATCCGAAACGTAACTAGAGTAAAAATATTATCTGAAACCTCTTGTGTGAAACCTCTTGATTTAAATTAAAAACACAAAATTATTTAATATGAACAGAGGTGAACGTTTCAGAAAAACAATCAAAGATAAAAATAGTCTAAGCTAAATATGTAATTAAGTAAATTTGTAATTCACCAAAATTTTAAATTTCCATTAATGGTTTTTGAATGTTTTTTTTAAAGATTTACCATGTATACTATCGATGTAAAAACTAAACTCTTACCATTATTGATTATTATACAGCATAGACTCCCCATATGGTAAATTGATAAAAACCATCATGTTTAATTAATATTTACCATTAATGGTATTTTCCTGCGCACAGGAAAATAATAAAGTACCATTGATGGTAAATATTTTAACCAATAATGGCAAAAGTTCAGTTTTTACATTCGAAAACAACCCATTAATGGAAGTTCAATTTTTTCCTGCATGGGGTATCTTACCGGTGGAGCGGGCGAATACACCATATCTTCAGTGAGTTTTAACGGAGGTAAACGTGAACTAGGCAAAGACTTGACAGGTGGAATTGCAGTAAAACTACATAAGTATTCTTGCTTGGTTGGAACGTCGAATATTGATGGCATCTCCTGAAAATACAACATTAGTTTATTTCAAGTCTCCTCCTGTAGTAAATATAGGATGGGCTTTATGTTCTCTAGGGAGAACAGTTTAGAACTAATAGAACTATCCAGTATAAATACAGTTAGTTTAGGTTTCCTCCTATGGTAACTGGTAACATTGGATCAATCAGAGAAGACTCTTACTGGACCTCTAGGAAGAACAGTTTAGAACTTATAGAGTTATCCAGTATGAAGAAAGTTAGTTCAGTTTAGGTTTCCTCCTGTGGTAACACTGGGTCAATAAGAGATGATCATTACTGGACCTCTAGGAAGAACAGTTTAGAATTGATAGAGTTATCCAGTATAAATAAAGTTAGTTTAGTTTAGGTTTCCTCCTGTGGTAACAATGGATCAATCAGAGATGACTCTCACTGGACCTCTAGGGAGAACAGTTTAGAACTGATAGAGCTATCCTGTATAAATAAAGTTAGATTAGTTTAGGTTTCTTCCTGAGGCAATACTTGATAAATAAGGGATAGGCCTTACTGGATCTCTAAGAAGAGCAATTTAGAAGTATTAAAGCTAGTCAGTATACATAAAAATCTACCTTCAGTTCCGTGAGCATGTCATGAATTTCTTCGTTCATAGTTTTGACGACTTCGACAA